TTTGAAATTTATAAAATCTTTCTTTTAAAACGATTTTTCAGGAAATTATGCTTTCTTAGGAGGCACGGTGGAGTAATGGATAGCGGTTCGGATTGCGGATTCCAGTCGAATCCATTACATTCACTTATGTGTTAATACCCTTGGGAAAGGTATGAATCCTCTTCTTCTCCACCCCACCCATCTATGGGTAAATAGCAAGACAGACAGGGTTCTATAGCATTGGATGGCAACTGATCTACTGCAGAAAGAAATCGCAACCTACTGCGAGAAAAATATGTGTAGTCAGTCATGTATCGAAAGATACATGATCGCCTAAGCGTGTATCACGCATGGCACATAACTGACTGACTGATGCTTTTTGATGTGGTTTTCCTTCCTAACCTTTTATTTAGAGTAGTGTGGAATATCAACATCTCGATTATGTCATTATTTTCTCTTCGAGTTACATATACTATCCATTTTTGTTGTTGCTGCTGTTGGTAGTCTACAAGTGAGGTGGTTTCTGTTATTTGGTGCAGTTCTTTGCTTGTGAATCCACAGCGCCAGTCTACAATGTTCAATGAAGGATGCCAAGACTCTCAGGCTTCACCCGCTTTTGTTAACTATTGGTCTTAGAAAGCAGTTGTGTGCAGCTGAGAGATTAGATAAGTCTATCTGGTGCCAGGTATGTCATCCATGCAGAAATATCTAAACTCTCAGCTGCATTCAACCGCTTTCTAAGATCTATGGTTTAAAAAAGGATTTGGAGAGCCGAGGGCCGAGGTTCAATTCCAACTGGATTTGTTATATTCACTTATATACGCGTTATAGTCACCTATACACTTAAAGGTGTGAATCCATCTCTTCTCCTGCAGCTATAAGCTAATTAATAGATCTTTTTATCAGTAACAGTCATTATTATCTCCGATTTTTTTTTTAAATCAGTAACAGTCATTATTATCTCCATAATATATTTTTTAATCTAAAAATATGTTCTGGCTTTAAATAACCTAAAAATATTGATAGACCTTAAAAAAGAAATCAATCAATCAATAGATGAGGCAGACTGTTCGTGGGAAACGACGTCAGCTTTTCGCATTCCTTTGGCGACGTTCGTTTAAATTAGTTGACCAGAAGACACGGCGTCAGTCTTCCGCTGTCATCTGGTGATGTTTTCAGATCTAGTTAAGGCTCATTGGCCAGAAGACACGCTACTGTTCAATGGTGATGTACTAGAAGAGGGACACTGACCAGGTGACAGAGCGTCTTTCTTTCATGGTCCATTGGTAATATTCTTTACCCCAGAGGTGGCGCTCAGGCCAGGCGATACAGCCTTAGTCTTTCACGTTCCATTGCTAATATCCTCTGACCGAAATGAGGCACACTGGCAGGCGACAACGTGCTAATCTTTCAGTTTCCATCGTGATATCCCCTGAACTACGTGAGATATACCGTCCAGGCGTCTGAGTGTCAGTCCTCTGCCGTGGAATTGTGATGGTCTCTGACCTAGGTTAGACACATAAATCAGTAACGTGATGTCAGTAAGGAAACGCTCAGTTAGAAACGCCATCAAATACTATGCAAGATGTACAGTGCGCTGACAGAAACGTACAGCTGTATCAGCTGAGATCTGGCAAGGTGACAATACCTCTACGATGCAAAAGGCTACTGAGAGGGAAAGAGAAGGAAAATAATTTCGAAGGAACCAGAAACCCATTAGTAAACAGAGATCAAGTGATAAACCTCTACTATTGTTGAAAAGACCGGGGAGGATTGTGAACAGGGTGATAGGCGAACCTACCTACTCCCACCGGGGAGAGAATAATTAGTAAATAAAATTTCAGAGACCAAGCGGAGTAGTATAGAAGTTCAGAAGTATAGCGCTAAAGTAGACTTTAGAAGGAACCAGAAACCATAATCCTAAACAGGAAACAAGGGATAAACCTCTACTCCTGTTCAAATGACTAGGAAGAGGAGTTTGAACTGGATGATAGGCGAACCAATCTACCGCTGTTGATGAAAAAATAAATAAATAATTAGTAAATAAAATAAAAGTTCAGTGGGAGACGCTATAAGTATAGAGTTGAATTAGATTTTAGAAGGAACCGGAGACCCAATCCTAAACAGGGAACAAGGGATAAACCTCTACTCCTGTTCAAAAGATCTGGGAGGAGTGTGAACGGGACGATAAGCAAACCTATCTACTCTTAATTTTCTCTCCTCGATGAGTGTGTATTAACTTTGCCAGCCGTTGGAAGTACAGCTCTTGCATTACCTGGGACTGACCACAGAGATTCTATGTTTGTCCAGTAGTCATATATACTGGTTATACGATTGCTGCTGTTGAAAACGAGAAAAGAAAACTATAGCGGTTTCTCTATCAGAAATAGGATGCTGCAATTTTCTTCGATCAAAACTCGTTAAATCCTGTCCACGTTACAGCTATACTGTCACAACTACACAACCTCTCCACATAATACGTCATACATATGCTATCGAGCTGAATAAATTTTCAGAGCGAAAGAAGATAAAAACCTACCAGTATATTGTTGTATTTATATTGTTGAATATATATATATATAGTTGTATTTATATTATTGAATATATATATATATATATATATATATATATATATATATATATATATATATATATAATGAAAAAATATATTTTAAGTTGTGCTATATTTATGGGATAAACAGCTCAATATCAGGGATAGAAAGTATGTAAATACAAATATAAAAGTGAACATTAAAGTCAACACTAAGAGGCGACAGGCTGTTTCATGTTAGACGCAATTGTCAGACTTCCAGCCTGACGATAGCGTCTAGCATGAAACAGCCTGACGCCTCTCGATGTTCATATATATATATATATATATATATATATAAAAAAACCATAAACTTTAGGTATTATATATATATATATATATATAATAAACTTTAGGCAGTATGTATGCCTATATATATATATATATATATATATATATATATATATATATATATATGGTACTCATTTGGAACAACCTTGGGTATATCGGCTTGTAAGAGAACAAACCAGTACCCAAGGAAAAATGAGGAATAAAAAGGAAAGAACTAAGAACATGATATTGAGGCGAAAACAATCGTCTAGAGTTCAAGCTCAGAGTCCAAAGAAAAAACCTCCAAAACGAGTAAAAGCAAATACGTAAAGTGCTCAGTACACGAAGTAGAGTAAACCTAATATATATATATATATATATATATATATATATATATATAATATAGATATAAATATAATATATCGCATAGAGATTACTGGTGTTAATAAAACAGTGTTTGATATAATAAAAAAAAGTGATATTAAATATATATTAATTAATATACATGTTATCCCTCACCGGAGCAAGACTCGAAGTTTCATGCACAACACAATCTTCAGGTGTTAAGTATAGACTAACCGTTACATATTTTAGTTTTTAAGAAAAAATATCTGGTTAACGCAATGTTGGCGCAGACCATATATTATACCAGGATTAAGAGATTTTTAAAAATAACCTAAATAACCCTTGCTTGTTAAAGAAGAGAAATGAATTGATTGTTGCATGTAGGAATAAAAATAAATATCTGAAAAATTACGTTGATCCAGATAAAATTTTAATGTAAATTATGACATTATTCATATTTGTTTTCATTTTTTTAATTTTAATTTAAAAAAAAAAACATTAATCTCACTTTATGAGTAATATGTAATATTCAGAACTTTAAGTAAGAATTAAATGTTTCTTGATATATAAAAGGTGGAGATTACCACATATTATTAAAAAAAAAAATTCCCTTTATGTTTTTCGATGTTAAATATTCTCGATATGAGACATTCTCTTTTTTGTGTTAGTGACCCAAATGTCTTTCTTGAACTGGCAGTTAAAAGTTTTGAGTGTAGGGTTATAAAACAATTAAGATTGTTCCGAAAAATGATGAAGTAGTTATCGGCATTCTTATCTTTTCATAACCCCTGTGCTTTTTTAGATCTATTTCCGTTTTCGTGTGTTTTTGTCAGCATGCGTGTATATATGTATATATCCCCTCTCCATACATACACACTGTCTCACTGCGAGAAATTAGTGAACACATTTGTACACACACACACACATATATATATACAGTCTCATTACAAGGACTCAATACATACACACATATGTACATTCACATATTTCCCAAGTTATATGGAATCAGTTTACACACACACACATACATACACACATATATACGTACACACATACTTCCTAATTTGTGTGGGGTTTGCGTGCGTGCCCGTGAGTAGTCTCCTGCTTTTGTCATTATGTGTATATATATATTCGTGCCCGACAGATACCCGCATTTGTGTGTGCGTGCATGTATGTGAGTGGTTTGATCGCTGTATAGTTTTAAGTTGTGCTATATTTATGGGATAAAGTGTTCAATATCAGATATTGAGATATATCAATATAAAAGGTAACACTGAAGTCAACACTCAAAGGCGAGAGAAAGTTCCATGCTAAACGAAATCATCAGGCATATATATATATATATATATATATATATATATATATATATATAAAATAAAAAGGCTTAAACATTAATATTTCCATTGGAATCGTAAATACAAATTTGTAGGTCTGACGAATTGGATCGTATTTACGATTCCAACGGAATAAATTATGACTATGGAATATTAGTGTTTAAGCCTTTTTTATTATATCTCTCTCTATCCTGGACATTGAGTTCTACCTGATTCTATCCTCGTGGAATTTTTTTTAAAAAATATATATGTATGTGTATGTATATATATTTAGCATATGTATGTGTATATTTAAAAAATATATATATATATATATATATATATATATATATATATATATATATATATATATATATATATAATATGTGGGCTTTTTTATGCTTGTTTTACCCTACGCCAAACTTAGCACGACAAATATGTAAATTAGCCACGAACGGATTGACAATTTGACAGAAAGAAAGAAAGAAAGAAAGAAAGGTGTGTTAACTGAAAAAAGGAAAGAATAGTGATCCGGAGAAAGAAAGAAAAAGAAAGAAAGAAAGAAAAGAAAGATATGCTAGCTTAAAATATCTAATCTGATTTAAAGAGAGAAAGATGCATTTGAAGAAAGAAAATGTTAGATGAAGAAAGAAAATATACTTATTCGAAGAAAGAAAGAAAGAAAGAAAGAAAACGTTAGATGAAGAAAGAAAATATACTTATTCGAAGAAAGAAAGAAAGACAGATATTAGCTGAAGAAACAAAGAATTTCTTATTCAAAGAAAGAAAGAAACATGTTAGCTGAAAAAAGAAAGAATACATATTCGAAGAAAAAAGAAAGAAAGAAAGATGTTAGCAAAGGTAGAAAGAATATTTATTCGATAAAATAAATATATGTCTGTTGAAGAAAAATGAATTTCTGATTTGAAGAAAGAAAAAAAAGGAAGAAAATAAAGAAATAGCGAAACGCCTAGATCTCTTTTCATTTGAATTCTTCATTAGAAAAGAAAGAAAAATGGCGTCTTGTACAATGTTTCATGACGCATCTTTCCATTCCATTTCGAAATTCTTCTGACCACAATCATAAAAAAAAATAAATAAATAAATTCCTCCACCGAAGATTTTGGCCTGAGGGAAAAATTTTAACCAAATTCCGTCCTAAGTTTCGGCCTTCAGGATGCCTAATGTGGGATTAAACTCCGACCAATCCGATTGGCTAAGAAAGAAAAACCCCACCAAATCGGACAGGTTTGTCGGTATTTGACGTGGTAGGATTATAGAAAAACGGGTCCGAAAATCCGCTTGTATTTGTCCTGATGATGAATAGAAAAGTGGTTTTGCGCAGGGCTGTCAGGGTAAATTGGGGATTTAAAAAGGGTACGGACATGAGACGAAGAGACATCTGAAGAGGAACAGATAAAAAGAGAGAAAGGTAAGATGATACTGCGTTGGAGAAAGACAAAAAGAGAGTGTAAAAACGATGAAAAAAAAAGGAGTAATGAAAAGAGGGGGCTGCCTCGCTTTGGAATATTGGTTAGCAAACCAGCCTCGTAGAATTTCAGCACCGATCCTCATTGAGTGCCACAGTCTCGCAATAAATCAAATTTAGTAAGTAGTAAAAAAAAAAATGAAGCAAGTTTAAGCTTAGGGAATTGCTGTCTCTACTATTTTACAAAGTGTGGTTGAAAACTTTACAGTAATAATGCTGCAACAGTTCGTGTGCTTCGATTGGGGTAAATGGGGATTTTCTAAGCATATCTTAGATGTGGCACAAGGCCGAAAGTATGGAGCACCCACTGAGGATTGAATTCACATTTCAGTCGTAACTGATCTAGCAAGAGAAGCATGCTAACCATTACATAACGTCGAAGTGTCGCAATTGTCGCCGTATTATTACTGTGATGATTTAAATAACCCTATTTAGAATAGCATAGATAAATGCTTTAGCTTTTAATTTTCTTGTTTTACATTGTCATCAGCGTTCTTTTGGAATTTTAAAGGATAAATAAAAATGTAGTCGTGCGGGCATTAACACGGACAACATTAGTACTGAGCATTTTTCAAACAACCGATTGAAAATATTATAGATATATTTACAGTGTAACCCGGATATAAGAGAGTTGTCGGGACCGGAGAAGAAGTCTCTTATATTCGGGTTTCTCTTATATCCAGGTTTGGTCTATTTTATATACATTAACACAGGCTCTAATTTGGGACCAGAGAAAATCTCTCTTATATCCGGGTTTCTCTTATATCCGGGTTTGGTCTATTTTATATACATTAACACAGGCTCTAATTTGGGACCAGAGAAAATCTCTCTTATATCCGGGTTTCTCTTATATCCGGGTTACACTGTATTACTTAATGTTCTTTGCATAGAGTGGGGGAAACAAATATTCGTACAGATACAATTTTTTTGATTTATTGTATTTCCAACTAATGAATAAACATATTTTTCATATAATTAACTGTACACAGATGCATAATTACTAAATATGCATAGGAAACAGAAAAAATGATTTAATAGAAATTTATCTATTTAATGGGTGAAAAAAGTATCCGTACAATGCAGATTGCTTTAATACTCTAGATTATTCAAGTGGAATATTCTAGAACGTTTCAATAATGTTATTAGTAGGTATTTTTAGCCTAAAAAAATACAAACAGAATATTCTATAATTAATATTCGTGCAAGAAGTTTATCAGCATGACAAGAGGTAAAAATTGAAAAATTCGCAAAAAGAACTGATTATTAAGCTCTGGAAAGAAGGTAAAAGTTATATAAAAATCTCAGACAACTTGAATATTCCATTTATTACCATTAGTTCATTTATTGCAAGGTATTAAAAACTCAAAACTGTGGAAAGCCAAGGAACAGGTGCTCCACGGAAGATTTCTTCGAGGAAATTAATGGGTCAAATTAAACAAAATCCAATGGTTAGTCGTCATGAGTTGCAGGATGTTTTGCTTTCATCAGGAATCTGTGTCACTAAACGGACAATAAGCAGTAAAATTCATAGGAACAATGTAAAGTCACGCTCCCTTTGGAAAAATTCACTACTATTGAAAAGACACAGAGATGTCAGGTTGAAATTCGTTCGTGAACATAATCATAAGGAAAATCATATTGGGAAAGAGTATTATGGACAGACGAAACCAAAACCTAGTTGTTTGGATGTAATTCTAGAAATTATGTATGGAAGAAGGAGGGCGATGCCTTCAAACAAACAAAAAAACACAGTTCCAACAGTGAAATTTGGTGGTGAAGGTATCATGGTTTAGGGATGTTTTTCTGCAAAAGATACTGGCAACATATCAACAATAAATGGTAGAATGAATGCTGCAGCATATCAAAATATTTTGGAAGCAAATTTCAAGATTTCATCTGAAAATCTTGAACTACCTCCTGATTGGGTCTTCTAACAAGATAATGATTCTAAGCAAAATCTACGAAATGACTTGCAGAAAATAATATGAATATCCTGAAATGGCCAAGTCAGTCCCCACATTTAAACCCAATCGAGAATCTGTGGCGTTATTTGAAAATTCAAATCCAATCGAGAGCGCCAACCAACATCCCGGATTTGAAGAATATATGCGAAGTATGGAACAAAATACCAACTACAATCATTAAGTGAGAAATATAAGAGTTTGGCTGCTGTAGAAGCGAATAATGGCTATTCTACAAAGTATTAAATGAAGATTATGTATTCTTTTTGTATTGTACAAATACTTTTTTCACCCATTAAAATGGATAAATGGGATTGATTTCGATTAAATCATTTTTTTCTGTTTTCTATGCATATTTAGTTATTATGCATCTGTGTGCAGTTAATTATATGAAAAATATGTTTATTCATTAGTTGGAAATACATTAAATTAATTTTCGTGTGTAAGAATATTTGTTCCCCACACACACACACACTGTATATTGTCGTGAAATGCCTTTCCGGTTCTAATGGGATAAAGAAAAAAAGGATTGTTTAAATGGAGAATATTAAAAAGTATGAAAAGAAAAAAAACATTTCTTGCAATTTTTATAAAAGTTCGTTTCCTAGAAAAATAACCCCCAGTGTTTTTGGCAGCAGGCATTTTTTTTTTAAATCTTTAAGCATGTCCCTGTAATAATGAATAGAATTTTTTAGTACATTTTTCTGCTCCGTTCAACACGTAGATCAGCGTCCGTGAGGAAACTAGAAACTTCTATTTTTCGAAAAAAATTCAAAATTTCGTGAATTGAAAATTCTTTTGCAAGCACGTCAATATCTGCGACGTCTTCATTTTCTTTTTTTCTTTAAAAGCACGTCTTTGCTTATAGCTCTCCACAATTTCCTGTCAGCATTTCCACTTGGTCCATTACTATATAATAAGACTTATCTCTGGGGAAAAAAGGTCATTGTTATTCTAAAAAAAAATAAATAAATATTAATACAATATTCGCTCGCAAAAAGAATTCTTCTCAATCCAAAATGTGTTTCAGCTTTAAATAACCAAGGAAGCTGTAAAAAAAATATCGATCAATCAATCTGCTCTCTCGTTTCATAATTATGGCACCCAAGGGTTCCGTCTAAGCAATTTCATTCACAAGGCTTGGGTCAACTAGTGGTATGGTTTTCAGGCACTTTCCAAAGGTGCCACATGTTGGGATCGACCCCTCTAGTCTGATAACATCAGGAAGTCCCCTTCCTGGAAAACCGACGTACTTCTGAAGTTTCCGCCTAAAATTTACTCTTTTCCTCAAGAGCAGTACATAGGTTCGACTATCGTCCGGTTCACACTCTTCCCCGGTCTTTTGAACAGAAGTGGAAGGTTTATCTCTTGCTTACTATGTAGGATTGGGTTTCCAGTACCTTGTAAAGTTTACTAGAATTCTATATTTCTAACGTCTCCGAATAAAACTCTGTTTTATTCACTAAATTATTTTTCCTCAATGGGAGGAGACAAGTTCACCTATTGGCCAGGTTCACACACCTCTCCGGTCTTTTGAACAGAAGTAGAGGTTTATCCTTTCTTTCCTCTTAAGGATTGGGTTTCTTGTTCCTTGCAAAGTCTACATGAATTCTATATTTCTAACGTTTGTTTATTTTTCCTTCATAGGAGGAGAAAGGTTCACCTATCGGCCAGTTCACACTTTCCCCCCAGTTTTTTGAACAGGAGTAGAGGTTTATCTCTTGTTTCCTGTTTAAGATTGGGTTTCCAGTTCCTTCTAAAGTCTACTTGAATTCTCTATATTTCTAACGTCTCCGATTAAACTCTGATATTTTATTTACTTATTTATTTTCCTCAATAAGAAGAGACAGGTCAGACTATCGTTTGATTCCCACACCTCCCCGATCTTTTGAACAGAAGTAGAGGTTTGTTTCCTGATTAAAAAATTGGGTTGCTGGTTCCTTCTAGAGTCTTATAATTCTTTTTCACTCCCAGTAGCCCCTTGCATCTTAGTGACATTATCACCTTCTTTTGGGTGAATTGTTTAAAATAATTTCGATTATATCCACCCTCTGACCCTACATTTATATAATTCCATCAATAAGAACATAGTCTTTAGTCCGGTGAATTTTTTTTGTTTTTAGAACGATTCGCGTTATATTGTATTTTCATTGAAATACCAGATAATGCATCTATATATAAAAGTGCTGAATTGCAATGTACTATCTAATCTCATATGTGACAATGAATGCTTGATAATCTCTTCACAGACGAAAAGGAAACTTGAAGCAACAGAAATGTGTTTCTGCCTCTGAATGCCGTGAATATTATACACAGAACATCGATTTTTGGTTGATTGATTAGTTTTTTTATGGTCTATCAACCTTTTGGAGGTTATTTAAACCTAGAAAATATTTTTACATTGTAAGAATTTTTTGGAGATAATAATGATTTACTGATAGAGATCTCACTAATTAACCCATAGCTGGGGGAGAAAAGGTGGGTTCGTACCTTCCCCAAGGGTATTTACGCTTAAGTGAATATAACAAACTTTGCTGGAATTGAAACTCGGCTCTCCGATTTCCAATTCTGAGCCATTATTCATGACACTACCCGCACATGCAAGCTTACGGCACCTGATATTCCCAAGTGGTCACCCATCTAGATAGTAACAAGGCTTTTGTGATCATGGGGAAAGATGTTTTAGAGAATTAAAATCTCACAGGACATAGTCGTGGTAACAGAAGCAGAGGGTAACAGCGAGTAAACTACATCACCATTTTTTGTGGATCGACAACAGAATGACAAAGAGTGATGTGAAAATGTTAAACGTTACTTAGGGCAACAAAAGAAAGATATGAAGAGTCATCATTTTTCATGTCTTGAGATTCGTTGGCATATAAAAGATATGTGATGTTGTTAAGGATTTCCGATATTAGTTTAAAGCCGTGATTCTAAACGTTGGGGGCTTTCTGCCCACTTGCATACTGTTAATCGTTTAGCATACTATTATTTTTAGGGGGAAGTGTATCTCTGCTCTGATTTCCTTAGGTTTACCTTTGAGGTCAGATGGAAGACAAAGCAAGGAAGTCGATTTTAATCGACTGAACGAATGTGGGAATGATAGAGAAATAGAAAGGTTTCTCAGTGTGTTGTTTTTGAATCGTCGAACAATATAGACATGGTGAGTTTCGTGTCTGAAACGGCTCCCCAGTGGAAGGAGAGCAACCCCATTGGCTAGTTAGAAGATGTATGCATCTACGTTAATAAACTAATTAAGTTCAAATTATTTTTGTTGATGTATTTATCTCAGAACGAAACCGACTAGCAATCATTACTTTTAACTGAATGTGTAGGTTTTTATTTATGCATCTCAAGTTATAGGAGTGTTTTATTTTCCAAACACGTTTAGCACATTGTGTCCGTGTTCGTCGTTAATGCTATTAGGCATTGGCTTTTGCTTCTTTTTTTTTTTTTTTAGAGTTGGATGCTATTATACATGTACTTTCTACCAGTATGTTGCTGGTGGAGTTTGGTAGTTGTTTGTTTGTTTGTTTTTCTGTTTTTTTTTTTTTGGGGGGTGACAGATTTTACACAGTTGTTTCAAGAAAAGAAAACACTTGTACGAACACAAAAAAATTAAATAAAAAGCATCATCGCAGTACATTATCGGTCGTCTTTAACGAAACTTGTATAAAAGAGGGGTTGCTGCCCAAATACACAACACACACACACATATCTGTATATATGTCTGTATGTATATATATATATAATTTGGCGCGCAAAGTTTTGGGTCAATCACATAAAATGATTATACAACATTATATTATTAAGATCTTCAGATTGTTTGGCCGTATGCTTTTACCTATAGTGTCTGTGGAAAATAAGTTGCTGTGTTTTCATAGGTGCCGTGTAATATAAGATATGTACACATGTCTGTCATACCGCGACACGTAAACATGGAAGGGCATCGTAATTAGAGTTCTGTCGAGACCATTCAAGCAAAAAGAAAATATGTTTTTAAAGTTGACTCAAGTTACCTCCCTTAGGTAACACAACGTATACATCGAGAAACATTAAACCCGTAAGGAAATATAAAAGAAATGAGATTTTTCTAGGAGGGCCATTTGTCATTCACAAGTTCTAGGAGAAAACATTTAGGAATAAAGTCTCGAGCCAATGTATAGTCGTTGGCTATCATCTGAAATCCCTCCAAGCCCAAACTCCACTATAATTCTATTTTGTTTTATACATATACGAGTTCGGATGTTTTAAGTAATTTATTTATTTATTATGTGAGGTGGCAGGGGTTCTTTTGTCTGTTTTTATTTCAATTTCCGTATATTTCTGTTTTTGGTATTTTTTTTTTTTTTTTACTTTAACGATTTTTATTATTATTTCTTTTTTAAGTTCTAGAATAAATTTATATGCAATCTCATGTTTTTTTGTTGCTTGTTTTCCTTTTTTTATAAAACTGTTTGTATTCGAGATAAATGGAATTTATTATCCTTTTCGTCAAAGACGGGGAATAAATCTTGGTAGCACCAACTATTGTGATTTCCATTTTTCCCGCCGAAATACGAGACAGAATAAAAAAAGCAAAAAGACCAACTATAAAAGGGTCGAATGAATATATAAAAATGGAGATCCAAAAGAAAATAGAATGAGAAGAAAAGTAAGATAGAGAAAAGGTAAGAACAATGACAAAAGGAAAATGAAGGAAGAAAAAAGTGAAAATCTGAACATAGTAATTTAAAGGGGAGAGAAAGAAAGAGAGAGAAGCTTAGGAGTAATTAAACATGAAAGAAAGAAAGAAAGAAAGAAAGAAAGAAAGAAAGAAAGAAAGAAAGAACGAGTCATAAAGGAAAAAGAAAGAAAATAAAAATAAATCAAAATATGCACAGAAAGAAAAGGGAATAAACAAACATGTATTGGGTTGGTGCATAATTATCAGGCGTTTTAAAAGAATATTTATTCTGAAAAACGCCTGATAATTATGCACCGACCCAATAAAAGAAAGCTAATAAAGAAGACATAAAAACGAACACAGAAGAAAGCAAGAACAAAGAAAAAAAGAAAAAAAATGGCAAAGGAAAAAAAGAAAAAGGAATAAACGGAGAAAAAATAAAGAAATATATATAAAATACGGACATAGAGACAAAACAGAATAATGAAAGAAAATAAATAAACCAATAAGATGTAAAATACGAATAAAGAAACAGAGAAATTAAGAATATAGAAAAAAGGGAGCACATTGAGTCGAAAAGCAAGATACAAACGAGGAACGAAAGAGAGGAAAAAATGATAAACGTAGAAAGAAAGAAAGAAAGAAAGAAAGAAAGAAAGAAAGAAAAAGAAAAAATCAGGGATAATGAAAAATATAATCTGAAAATTGCTAAGAGTCAAAAGGAAAACGAACTTGGCTAAATAAAATGAAAAAGAGTAAAAAAAAAAAAAAAAAGCAATGAGAAAGAATAGAAGAAAGAAAAGAAGAAAGGAAAAAATAAAACGAGAGATGAACAAAAAAAATCAAAAGAAAAATTTGAAGATACGTCTAAACAAATATGGAGTAAAAAAAAAAAACGAATATAAAAGAAACGAAGTAAGACAAAAATTAAAATAAGCAATGGGGGACGCCTAAAAAAATCACTGAGCAGGACAGGAAAAAATGCAACAGTGCGAGGAAAAGCGAAAGAAATAAAATTTAGAAAAATAGTATAAAAAAGAAAGAATGAATAAGGAAGGAAAGAAGAGGAAAAAAAATCAAAGAAACAAAAAAAATTAAACTGAAGACAAAGAATTAAACCTAAAGAAAAAAAACCTAACAGCTTTAAAGCATATAATATTTCAAATGAAGGATTTACAATTCGGCAAGGTTCCGGCCTTGGTATCCAACTTAGACAAGCTTCAATGACCTTTGTTCATTTTGTGTCAATATTCCGTTCTATATTCCACCATATTGTTTTCTTTAATTCTTTCTTTTTGTTGCGCCATTTTTTCTGCTCTGCTTATTTTAATGCTTGGCTATTATTTTTTTTATGGGTGAATGGTGGTGGGGATCTGTTGCTCTTTATGAGCTTAATGTTATTATTATTAATAGTAGTAGCATGAAGTTATTTTGGCCTTTTTCTTTTCTTTTTTTCGTTTCCTCGTTATATATATATATATATATATATATATTTTTTAGCTTATTTATTTTTTAATGAAGCTGCTTGTTTGGAGCTTCGTTGCTCCCCGCCCTGTTTACTGGCCAGCCCAAAAGCCAAAGTCCGCTTGACAGGCACAATGAATATACATGCAAATATGTGCATACCTAACTACGGATATCTACTTTTACACATGTTTGTGGATGTCTATGTCATTAATAGCTTTACATAAACAGATAGGCAAGAAATAATGTGTGTGTATGCGCATGCGTTTCTAGATTTTTATGCGTTGATACGTTAAAGTTGCTTAGTGTATTTATTTTTCAGAGTGCACAAATTAACATATTAAAAAAAAAACAAGTTAAAATAAAAAGTAAATTTCATAATTTCAAGGCGGAGACTATCTGGCTGCACAAGACCCAAATTATTTTTCCCAGTAATTAGCATTTTTATTTATTTTCTTTCTTTTTATATTTCTTTCTTTTTTTTCTTTCTTTCTTTCTTTTTCTACTTTTCTTTTTTATTTCTATTTATTATTCTTAATTTCTTTCTTTCTTTCTTTTTGGTGTTCGTTGTTTTTTTCTTTGTTTTTCCTTTCTTTCTATCTTTCTTTCGCTCTTTTTTTTCCTTTTATTCTTTCTTTCTCCTTTTCTTTCTTTATTCCTATTTATCTTTCTTAATTTCTTTATTTTTTATTTCTATTTATCTTTCTTTCTTTCTTTTTGGTGTTCGTTCTATTTTTCTTTGTTTTTCCTTTCTTTCTATCTTCCTTTCGTTCTTTTTTTTCCTTTTTTCTTTCTTTCTCCCTTTCTTTCTTTATTTCTATTTATCTTTCTTAATTTCTTTATTTTTTTTATATCTATTTATCTTTCTTTCTTTCTTTCTTTTTGATGTTCTTTCATTCTTTCTTTCTTTCTTTCTTTCTATTTTTTGTTTTTCCTTTCTTTCTATCTTTCTTTTTCTATCCATTTTTCTTTCTTTCTATTTATCTTTCTTTATTTCCTCTTTCCTACTTTCTTTTTTCTTTTCTCTCTCTCTCTCTCTCTCTTTTCTTTACTTTCATCTCGACCCTTCTCTCGCCTTTCTTCTTCTTCTTTCTCCTCTCTTCTTCATCTACTACTTCTTCTTCCTCGCACCTACTCATCTTCTAATCCTTTGACTCCTGTATTTCTCTTTACTTCCTTTTCATCACGTGTTTCATATTTTTTTTATTTCGTCTATTTTTCTATTGCTTTGTTAATATAAAGATGACAGTATATCTAAAATATATGGAGGACTCGGTGAACTTATTAACGATTTTACCTTCTACATTGCTCATGAAAAAATTCAATATATTAGGACCAAGTGTTGAGCCCATAGCTTTCCTTTGTCCCTTTTGCCTTCGCTCTTTCCCGTGAGTGTTAAATTTTCTATGCCCTCTTTCCTAATTATGTGTCCTGGAAATTCCAATTGTATAATTATTGGTGTCCTTTTCTTTCCATTTCCGTCGTTGCCCACATGTTCAGACCATATGATTCTCAACATCCTCCTGTAGAACCACATTTCTGTTGCTTCTTCTTCATTTGTAAGATTTTCAAGCATCCACTGCCATATAAGGGGACTGATATTATATTGCAATTCAGTACTCTTTCCTTTGTTTCTAACTAAATTTACCTGTTTTTTTTTTAATACATTGATTAACTTTTGGTAAGCACCTTTCTCTGTTAAAATGCGCTTTCGAGTCTCGGAGTCAAATTTTCCATCCTCGGTCAAAACACTAGTAGTTGTAAAATATACTACTAGTAGTAGTAGTAACATTAGTAGTAGAATTAGTAGTAACAAGAGGATTAATATGATTTCCTTATTTTTTGCGCAAAGATATATTTACTACTATTTTATTTTTTCCGTTGTTTATTATATTTCACAATAAACATATATCTTGCTATCGGTTATAATAATTATAATAATAATAATAATTTATTTCATTCACACACACATACACACGCGCACACACACACACACATGCACAGACACACACACACACACATATATATATATATATATATATATATATATATATATATATATATATATATAGAGAGAGAGAGAGAGAGAGTCTAAAGAGTCTAGAGAGGATGTGTATTTATCCATCCGAGAGATTTTTTAGCACTTTAAACGTTATTTTTTTTTTTTTTGTGGATACACAGATTTGAGTAGACGCTCCGTTTATTTATTAAACAATATATTTATTTATTTTTGTCTACGGGTTCGAGTATTTGAAAAATCTTATTAAAGGAAATTATGTGCATAATATATCATACGATGTCTATCTATGTATCTATATATATATATATATATATATATATAGTAGTTCAAGGAAAGCATTTGGGTCACTAAGACACAAAAAAGAGAATGTCTAACATCGAGAATATTTAACATAGAAAAATGAATTCCTTTTAATAATATGTGGAAATAGCCACTCTTTGCCTGATGAAAGTCGCGAGGCCGGAAACCCGTGTAGCAAATTTATGGAAAATAAAGCATAATATATTTTTTAAACAAATCCACATTACAACTAAAAACGTAATAAAGGAGAAGTTTCCCTCCTCACCTCTTTCAGGGCAAATGGGTGCTTGGTTAAAATAAGTAAATAAAGAAGGAAATAAATCAAATAAAAACAATGCACTTCTGAAATCCGTCAAGCTTTACTAACCAATATTTGCTGATAACCCCGCAAAAAACATGGCCACAATTACATCTTCCGTTCAGTTTTTAGTCTATCAATTTTCGTCTTTTCCTTCTCTCTTGTTTATTCCCTTTTGATTCCATTATTACCTTTCACTTTTTACATTGTATATTTGGCTTTAGGATACATTTAGGATACATTTGCATACACACAAGATTGACTCCCCTAGGAGACCAGATATGATATGATGGACTCTCCCGTCGTTTTCGACGTATGAGTGTCTTTCAGTTCAGTCTTTATGTTTCTGCTTCGTATGAAATAACAGTCCTGCACGGGATTTGCAGACAAGTCCACACGATGGACCTGCTGAAGGGTTCACCGTCACATGGGTTGATGTATTAACCCGGGATTTAGTTTTAATTCTTAATTCTCTCACTTGGTTGAGACGATTCTTTTCAAAGTTAATTATACATCGGTAGCAGGTATTTGTCCAGTTTGTTCGCTTTTCAACAAGTTTGAACTCCTCTATAGGGATGTTTGCAGCATTTAAAGTGTATTTAATTTTGTCCTTGAAGCGTAACCAAGGAAGGCCTACATTAGGCTTACCATGAAAAAGTTGGCAATACATAAGGATTTTTGGCATATTCACTCATTCTGAGACAACACACACACACACACACACACACACACACACACACGCACACACACATATATATATATATTAAAAAGAAGAGAAGAGAGGTGCCGCTAACGTTTTTGGTTGTAATGTGGATTTATTTAGAAAAAAAAATATTATGCTTTGTTTTACATAATTTTACGACACGTGTTTCTGGTTTTAGAATTCTAAAAAGAAATTCGGATTACCAACACACAAACAGAGAATGTCTCATATCGAGAATATTTCACATTGAACATGAAGAAAAATTAATTTTTTTTTTTTAATATGTAGAAATCTCCACTTTTACCTGAAGACGGTCGCGAGACCAGAAACACGTGTCGTAAAATTATGTAAAACAAAGCATAATATTTTTTTTTAAATAAATCCACATTACAACCAAAAACGTTAGCGGCACCTCTCTTCTCTTCTTTTTAATATACATACTTTTCTCTCGTTGGAACCACTACATTATATTTCTTTTATATATATATATACATATATATATATATATATATATATATATATATATATATATATATAGAGAGAGAGAGAGAGAGAGAGAGAGAGAGAGAGAGAGGCAGTATAGGGGCAGCAGATGAATGAAGACTCGGAAACATGAAAGTATAATAAATGTTAAGCCCATTAATAATGATGAAACAAGTGATGCTCATAATATATTATAAAAAAATTAAAACAATTGACCTCATAGTCTCCAGCAACGCTAGAACCACACAACTAAATCCTCTACAAGAAAAAACAATCTAATGTACCAATTTACGTGTCCCTTCAGAAATTGTATTTCTGATACTAATAAAAAAACCCACAACATAGATTGGTTTTACCACAAACAGGCTCACCCGTAGTCAAATTTTTGATCTTTGTTCCATTTAACAACGTTTCTTAGAAAAATATAGTCGTGTACATAATATTAGACAGATATTACTTGATATCACAACAATACTCACACATATACAAAGTAAAAAGAACCTTAAGATATTGGAGGCCATCTCCATTATAACAAAGCAACCCACACTCAACAAAATTACATTTCAAACCAGTCACAACATATTACATTGCATCTAAACATATGACTCCGTTGATAACATTTCTTTCTCCCACGTGGTCATGTACGACGTCATAGAAACGCATTACGAATTTACGACCTGCGTCTGCTATTCCGCGAGCGTTATCGTCGCATAGAAAAATTCTTTGAAAACAAAACAGGATATCTTCATTGACGGTGACCATCTCTGTTGTAATATCAATATAACCACTCTGATGATAGCTCACGTGAGCCGAAACCTTAGAGTGAATCCAGTATAATAAAGAAATATCCAAATGTTGGACCGTTTTAGTTTTTATTTTCTCTTGAAACTAAAGCCATTATAATACAATTGGAAAGGCTCATGATAAAACATAATAGACATTTGTTGTCTATTATATTTAACAATTTTTGTTTGAATATATATATATATATATATATATATATATATATATTCGTCCCTTCAAAAAGTGTGGATGGTCCTGCACGAGGCCTTCACCACTATAATCAAATCTCATGTGCCGGTGTCGGGCTGTCGGTTTCCTGGAAAATGATCTGCTTGACCCTCATACGTCGAATCTCGACGGGAGAGTCGATTATTTATATATATATATATATATATATATATATATATATATATATATATATATATATGAAATTGATTTTGAATACAGAAAATTTACTTACCGTAATTATCCGTAATTCCACATATCAATTGTGTGTGTGTGTGTGTGTGTGTGTGTGTGTGTGTGTGTGTGTGTGTGTGTGTGTGTGTGTGTGTGTATTTAGGCAGCAAACGT